CATCCCGACTTGATGAAACTGTGTGAACGAGCTTAATGTTTGGGATGACAGGCCACAGGCAGGCGGTCTGCAGGCTTCATACAAATCCAGGTTCCTCAGGCCATGTGCTCAGTGTGGATGTACCAGAAGCTTGCTTATGTTATATTACAGTACTGGGTTGCTTATATGCATTTTTCTGATTATTGTTTTGTAGATTTTTTGTTATTGTTGTTAATGACCCAGTGCAGGCTTCCTGAAACTCACAAACAAAATACTGATACGTTGGCCCAGAGTTCCATTTAGTTCTTATGATATGTGGTTTTTCCAAGTGGGGTCACTGGAGCAGTACTAAGACTTTTACAAATTAAGACATGTACGTCTGTCAGGGCTTACTTCGCTCTGGATCGTTTATGCCACTCAGATTTTGACGCAGCAACCGAGGAACATAGCAAAATCTGTTGCAGGAATCCTTCATCTTTACAGAAGTTGTTAAATATGAACTTTTTTAAAAAGTGAGTTTCACAACAAATATAAAAAGCATTTGTGGCTTGTCAGAGGAATACCGTGACTGCCTGAACTCATTCTATCACATGCCCTACCCTTTCCTGTATTTCATTTGTGAAGCCTTAGTGCTTCTCAAACCCAACTGTATCAGGAAGCTACAAATTTTTTTTTTTAATTTCCAGAATTTTTATTATTATTTGTATTAAAGCAGCATTCTAGCATGGCAAGAGTATATTCTGAGGTAATGGTACAGAATGAAGTCCTGCTGATAACCTTAAGGATCCCATGGCATGTTTCAGAGGGCTGTGGATTGTTCTGTCTTATATTTAAAGTAGTCACCTGTGCTTTTTTCTGGATCATTTTTCTAATGCTCATCCTCTTAAATGACTACTTTAATAAACAAAAAAAAAGAGAGGAACATTCTAAGTCACAGTTAAGGATAGGCTACCTCTGATGAATGCCAAAGTTATCCTTACTGAGTGTCTTTATAGACAAGGCCACGGGCAAGATTTTTGAGCTGTACCTGAGTGCTGCTGCTATGCTGCATAAGAGCTTAAAGCAGCTTGCATTTGAACTTAAGCAATGAGCTAAACCCTTAGTCTTCCTCAGAGTCTCTCAGCAGTCTGTTACTGCTAAGCTGCACTAAGAGCTTTCAAGGCTCAAAACTGCACAAGCGCTTTTTTAACTGGAAGTGCTTTTGCTTGAAAAAATAAACAAAACTAAGGCCATGAAAAAATCTGAGTATCTACTGTATGTACCCAGAACAACAGTGGCTAGACGGTCTCAAACATCATTCTAACCTGCAGGGACCTAAGGGGAGAAGGGATTTTTGAAGTCTTAGGTCCCCTTGCCATTAAGAAATAGAAAGGTTAAGGGAGGTATTCCTAATTTAGGTGACAATAAGGTAAAAAAAAAAAATCATGTTCGATCAATTTTTTTTGAACAAATGCATTTTTTCAGATCATCTCCTCACCCTCAAAGAAAAAAATAAAAAAAAATCCGTATTACAGAGATACTAAGACTCGGTGTTTCATTGCAAATGGGCTTCTGAGCATGTAAAAAGATGGCAGAGAGCAGTGTGATAGGACTTGGCCAGTAAAAGCCAATCTGTATATTTGGCTGCAGAAGCAGAGATAAGGATAGGATAACAAAAATAGTATTGCTCTAGTGAGCTTACTAAACTGCAGAAAATAAGCGACAATTTGACAGTAGATCAAAGCAATCTTTCCCAACATTTGCACTATATTTCACTTTTCTTGCTGTTCATCCTGTTTTGCTCTTGGTATATTTGATATCAAAGTTGGTTGCAAGTACAAAGGCAGCAAAATAATATCTTCCTTTTAGCTACACTCCTTTCATTTTTCTTAACCTTTCCTTTTTGCAGCTGCTTTTTTTGTTTGGTATATGGCTGCTCTCCAGAAAGTCATAGTATTGTGGTCTGGCATACAACAACAGCTATAGGGTGGCAGCCAACTCACAGATCTCACTTACTGTAGCTCGTTTTAGAACAGGCAGCATGAGATGAATGTCCACGCAAAGAGGTGTAACACGTCCTGAGCAGTAGAAGAACCTGGTCTGCGAAGCAGGCTAGAACATTCAAGCTCCACGTGATAATTTCAAGCACTTCCCTTACTTTGAAATAACAGGATTTATGAGTGAAATTCCTGCGGTGTGGCGCAAACAACTGATTTGAAGAACTATTTGGAGTTCTGGTTTTCAAGAGATCATGGATTAATCCTCAGACAGCAGCTCCTGAGACTGGCTGTACACTGGGGAAAACCCTTCCACAGCCCTGGCAGAGGAAGGAACCCAGCATCTGACAAACGGAATGTTCTCTGCCCTTGTCCTAGCAGCACTGGAAGATCTCAAAAAGTGAGCTAGTAATAGAGAAGGGGGGGGGGGGGGGGGATGTGAAGGAGATGGAAATGAGACTCCGAAAGCATCACAATTTTGTCTTAAAAGTTAAGCGTCATAGTAGCCATGTGCTCTGTGGTTTCACTAGATGCAGCGGAAAGCGGCGAGGTAGCCTTACAGTGAATGAAGGAAGATGGACTGCAGATAACCCTCAGAGAATGAAGCTAAGGCCATCAACAACAATAAATTAACAACGGCCAGCAGGATAGGG